GGTTAAATCTTTTAGTTCCCCAGTGGAAGAAGCACCTGAGAGCTGGTTTAAAATCTCTGATGCAAAAACTTTGGAAAGCTTAATGTCCTCATTAACAAAAAAGGGGATTCGGGAGTCACGGCTTCTTGCCAGTATCAAAAAAATATCTGAAGGCTTTCGCTCTTCCCTTGATACAAAGTATGTCAAATTCTTTTATTTTGTTATCTGATATGTGACCACAATTAAGGGAAAAAAGCTTTTTTTCAGAGTGAGAGAGGTGCCAGTGGAGATAGCTGAGGTAGGAGGGCTGCCCTGTTATAAACATTTACATGAAGAGATTTGGAGTTTCGAAGGTGAACTTCGTAAAAGACGTTTCACAAAAATCATTGATGAAGATGAATTTTTGGGGAAAATTGAGAGATCGTGCTCGCTTCCCGAGCTTGTATGTATTTGTGCTTATGCTAGTTCAAGTTTGCAGCAAATGCTTTCGTACTAATTGTGGAGTTGGTTTTAAATTTTTGTTGTTCCATGTCCTTGACCGTTCTCGTGTAAAGTAAGGTAAGAGATTTGTAGAAGACGCTATTGTTGGAACTATGTGATTCTATCCCAGAACGAGATCTTACGCAGAAGAGTAAACATAGGTTAGGCGAAGGGAAATTTTCTTTGCTCTCATGGAAGGAGTTTTTAAAACAAGCCGCATCAGTCTCTCAGCTTAGTGTGCTTTTACATCTGCTCGAGACGCAAATTGACTGGGATTACTCTTTGCAGAACCAGGTACTTTCTTCATTAGATGAAGCTTGTTGCTCTGCACGTTGGAGGTGTTGGACTTCATGATCTTGTATTGAACTAGGAGTACTTTTACAACGATACTGCAATGTGGTTGTTTTAAATGTGGGACATTTAGAAATGTCGCATATGCAATAAGGCAAGGTCTCAAAATGAATTTATTGTGTGCGAAACCTGTGGTTCGGTGATACATTTTTATTGTGTAAGGCCGCGACTTGACGAGATGCCGCCAGGAGGGATTTTCGTATGCAATAGTTGCAGAGAGGTAGAGGATCAAACCATTTTGAGTTACGGTATTGCCCTTTGCACTAACATGGCGTTTTTTATTCTAGGAAAACATGGTTAGTTTAGAGGAGGAAATGGAAGTCGATGACTATGACAACAGTTTTGAGAGCGAAAACAATGGGGATCTCTCAGGAACTGTGAGTTCCGATAGCGATAGCTGTGGTAATATCCCAAAGGTTCTGCTCGTTTAATATTACGTTTTTATTCTAAACATTTCCTT